GCCTTGCGTGCTCTGGTCCATGGGGTCATGAAGAGTTGAACACGATTTAACGACTAAACAACAAAAGGAGAGGGAGGCTACAAGTGAAAAAATGGCAGCAGTTTTATAGAAGCCAACAGTACAAAGTAACGGGACTCCAATAAGTTTATCACTATATGCAATACATTTAACGACTAAACAACAAAAGGAGAGGGAGGCTACAAGTGAAAAAATGGCAGCAGTTTTATAGAAGCCAACAGTACAAAGTAACGGGACTCCAATAAGTTTATCACTATATGCAATACAGAGTGGCAATGGGGCATGAATTAGTATTGTAAGATTTTGCACAGAAACCACCGAGTACCATAGGACAGACCATATCTAAATCCTTGGAAAGCTTGTATCAGCTTGAAAAAAGCCTTGGGATAACTTTAAATTGTAAAAAGTAGAACTCCCAGGTTGAAAGATATCCCGATATAACAGATGAATGCCTTATAGAATAAAAGTGAACACCAGACTTTTATTCATCCTGTCATGAAATGTATGGGTATGGAGAGTGAATTGAATGAGTTGTCCTGGGGGTTCTGATTTCTGCCATCTATGATACTGGCTCATCTTGTGTTGCCACTTGACAAGGGACAGAAAATAGAGGCCAACGCTAGACATTCAACACTGTATGATTGGCTGAACTGAGCATGCAGTGCCCAGTGTGGGGCAAAAGGGACAAAAAGTCAGCTGTCTTTCCACAAGATACTTCTCTTATTTGCACTCAAGTGCTATTTATGGGTGTAAAAAGGCATCAAAGCTGACAGCATGGATCAACTGAAATGGGGAAAGAGAGAAAAGAAAAAAATTTGGTAGGAAGACCTTCGAATTGGGCTTCCTCAGATGACGACCATCAGCATTTCTTAAAGGCTCAGAGAGAGAACTTCTCAGTTTTCAGTAGACTAGGCATACTTTATGTTCCATCAGAAGCCACAGATTCTCTAGACACTGAAAGGTTTGCAAGGAAAATATAAATACACGCTCATGATTCACTAAACTGCTGATAATCCCATTCCTGTCAACAGCAAATAATAAAAGCGGCAAAGAAGTCATGTCGTCCTGAGGAGAATACAGGAGAAATGTGTTGGTGGATCCAAGTTCTGTGGGAAATACAAGGGATTATGGGCGTGGTAGTCTCTGCCCTCAGAGTATCCACAGGAAGTCTCTTAAAAAACCCCATGAATCATAATCCCTTGCACCACCCAAAGTTTAGCCCTACTGACCAATTTCTCCTTTCTTCTCCAAGGATGAAAATGGCTACCAGAATCTGGATTCATTGACTTAAGAACTCGAAAACAGCTGTTAGGACTTTGATTTCTCAATTAAAGCCTACATAAGTCTAGCTGGGGAAATTCTGGCAGACTTCTGGGGACTGTAGTCCACAAATTCTGAAAATCCTATGCCTAGAAGCCATGACACAAGCCCAGGAACGAATACTCAGCACCAATTACCTGTTCAAATTTCCATCCATCAGACATAGTGGACACCATCTGCGTGAGCTCTTCCTCTTGGCACTGCAGGACTCTGTATACATGCTTGACAGGTCCCTGGAACACAAATGGAAAAACCAGCCAATAAATTAAAAATCATCACTGATGCTTTGTTAAATATAACAACTTGGAAACCTTTAGGAAACAAACGTAGAATATCACAGAATCCACACATTTTTGAGAATATGCATCTTTTAAAAGCTTCAGTGGACACAGTCAGCCACCATGATTGTGAAAAGCCTGAAAAGACATCTAGCAGGTTTTGTTCCCAAACCCAGAGAAATCAGAAACAGCCTGGAGAATTAGGAAAGACATGGATGATACCTCACAAAGACAGTACAGGCATACTGAATCACACTCACATATGTTGGGACATACTAAAGGCATCATCAAAATTGACTGCTAAAAGAGATTCAAGTAAGATGGTACACCATGAAAAAATGCAAAGGGAATTCACTTCTTTCTCCCATTTTTCAAATCTGGATAGGACCTCCTACAGTGGAAAGTCCTGTCCTCTGCACATATTTTTTTTCCTACTAAACATAGATTCTGCCTGGGAAAAATGAAAGGCATTTGTATTCTGTTGAAATAACATTGCTGAGCTTTTCAGTCCTCCAGATTTCATACAAATTTAAATTTTCCCTGGCTACATACATATAATTTACAATGTCTTAAAAATCCTCAACTTTCCTTCCTTGTGAAATAAAGACGAAATCCCCACTTTCCACTTCACTGTTACAGGACTCTGATTTTCTGACTCTGTAGCAAAACTAGAGACTTCTGGCGCCACTGGCAGTATGAATGATGAAAAATCAACTTTCCTGTCAATTGTGAAATGCCCCTATCACCTGTGGTAAGCACAGCAGTGCTTCTTCTGGTATATTCCTGACTGAATATTAAGATCTTGGGGCTCTCCTCTGCATCTCAGTTCGGAGTGGTTCCTTATGCAATAATGAAAGAAGGGGTGCAGCACATTTCTTACACTAGTAGGCCTTTCCCTTAGACACTCAGGGAGGTACTGCTGCTGACTGTATTTTTGTGCCAAGCTAAGACTTAATTATTTAACAAAGTGTTTGAGCCTCAGTAATCACGGTCAGATTTTGACTTGCCTAATGTACATTGGATTTTGGAATTCTGTTGCTTTAAAATTTGCTGTTTAGAAGTTTGTTATTGCTGCTGTTTTGTCTGTATTTATTTTATCCTCACCAATCCAAAATCTACTTTAGCAGGAAGATCAGATACTGTATACAGTATTTATTACTTGTAAAGAAATATGACAGTGTATAAGCAGAGTAAACAGTTCTCTGCTCATTGGAAAAATAAATAAAACACTCTTCTTTTCTCCTAATTTCTGTACAAATGGTAAAAAACAGAGGAAATTAGAAGGTTAGTGGAAAGAAAAAATAACAATTGGTCAAGCCAGTATATTTGGACCCCTTATTCAGATCAGATTTCCCTTTGTTTTTGCCTAATATTCATTACTTGAGAAGTTCTGCTTTCATTGTCCCGTATTCGCTCTTTCACCAGCCGTACTAGGGATGCAATGTTGTAGAACTCAGCTTCTTCCAGCACACCTAGGAAAGATAAAAACCAAACAAAAGACCCAAAATTAAGTGTTGTTACTAGCCTTAAAAGGGAAGAATACTAGAAACAAGCTCCATATTACCTCAAAAGCTCTGCTATTGCCAAGTTTTAAGAATATGTCAGAATTTATATTCGTATACATCAATAAAAATTATCTACAAATTAACAGGTTGTATCATGCTAAAAAAAGTAAACAGATTTAATTATTATATACAGATTTTTATTAATTTATTTAATTTATTAAACTTATATACCACCCACCTAGAACATGCCTACTCTGGGCGGTTTACACATATTACATACATATGTAATAAGAATAAAACACAAATTAACAACAAAATTCAAGATGGGGAAAAAGAAAAAAAAGATAGGCTAGGTGATTGCTGTATATCAGAAAACACATCTATTTAATAAATATTATATACAGAATTTTATTAATTTATTTAATTTATTGAACTTATATACCACCAACCTAGAACATGTCTACTCTGGGCGGTTTACACAAAATATAAAAAGAAACTATGAAAATACATATGTAATAAGAATAAAACGCAAATTAACAACAAAATTCAAGATGGGAAAAAAGAAAAAAAAGAAAAGCTAGGTGATTGATGTATATCAGAAAACACATCTATTTAATAATTGAAGAGGTGTGTGTAAATGCTTCTTTCAGTGGCAGTAAACTGGAGCCGTAATATGAGGGTTCAAGAATAATCTCCTTCCAGAATCCTCACCCTTCTACATTAAATGGAAACTAAAAGAAAGTTCATCAACACCCTGTACTGTATGAAGTAGTTACCATAGGATAATGGGGTCAGAGATATGTGCCTCCATTAATTTTTTTTTGCTTTTGTATTGTTGATTTCAAGTTTAGTATATAGATACTATACATGCAGACTATGAAATCAGGACTAGAAGACAATGAATATACAGTACATTAAAGACAACTTTGGCTTTCAAGGATACATTTATATCTTTACCAAACTAAGAGAAAGCGCCGGATCCCTCTTCTCTTACCTTCTTCTGCCAATTCCTTGTTTATTATGAGTTTTCCATGACGGAGGTAGTTCAGGATTGGGCCAAAGTATGTGGGATCCCTATCAATGAGATATGCTCCTGTTTCATCCTGTTAGAAACAAACTGGTGTCAAGAGATTCACAGAGAAGATGATCGCTCAATGTAGTTAAGACTTTTGCTACGATAATGTGATGAGGGTGGGAATTTGGTTCTTGGCAAAGAATCAAATTCTCCTCAGTAAAGCAGTTGATCCTATACCAAATCATTTAATCATTTATAAAAGATAGTAGCTAGATATAGTACAAGACATGGACGAAATATTGAGGGTGATTAAAGGCTTCAGGAGTTAACATCGAGGCAAAATCCGGAGCTGGAGTCCCGAAGGCAGCATGTGTCATTCTGCCAACTCCTGCGACATTGCTGGAACCAGTTGTATTGGCTCTTGCCTTTCCATTGGACCATTTCAGCAATGTGGAGGGGGGGATCTGCTGCTTGGGTAACAGCCTATCCTGCATATTACCTTACCCGGGCTTCATGCTCTGGAGAGGACACTCCTCGATTCAGAGCATGTTACCATAGTCTCTTGAGACTGAAGGATGCCTGTGTATGTATGTAAAGAGTCATTGAAGGCTTCTAAGCTCTTGTGTCCCTAGGTGTCTAGAAGCCTCTGCTGCTTTGCTGTTGTTTAGTTGTTAAGTCGTGTCCGATTCTTCGTGACCCCATGGACCAGAGCATGCCAGGCCCTCCTGTCTTCCACTGCCTCTCAGAGTTTGGTCAAATTCATGTTGGTAGCTACAATACTGTCCAACCATCTCATCCTCTGTCGTCCCCTTCTCGCCTTCACATTTTCCCAACATCAGGGTCTTTTCCAGGGAGTCTTGTCTTCTTATGAGATGGCCAAAGTATTGGAGCCTCAGCTTCAGGATCTGTCCTTCCATTTCCTCTGCTGTTTAGCCTTGAATATTAGGTAACACTATGATGCCGTTTTATTTTTTACTTTTATTTATTAAACTTACAGTGGTGCCTTGCATTGCGATGTTAATTCGTTCCAGCGAAATCCCTGCTGATCGAAAACGTTGCAATGCGAAAATAAAAAGCCCATAGAAATGCATTAAAACGCGATTAATGCGTTCCTATGGGCTTAAAACTCACCGTTCAGCGACGATCCTCCATAGCACGGCCATTTTCACTGCCTCTAAAGCGAGGAATCCGTCCCAGAAAACAGCGGGTGGCCATGTTTTTTTCCCGGCGGCCATTTTGAAACCGCCGATCAGCTGTGCGAAAAGGGTTGCTTTGTGATGATCGCAGGGAACCAACCGATCATAGGGAATATTGCAAAGTGATAGCTTTTGCGACCGCAAAAACAGCGTCGCTAAGCAATTTCGTCGCTAAATGGAGCGATTGCTAAGCAAGGCACCACTGTATATACCGCCCATCTTGAACGTGTCTACTCTGGCTGGTTTACACAAAATTTAGAAAATAAACTAAGAAGGTAATAATGAACTAAAGATACAACCCAAATTAACAGCAGAATCCAAGATGAAAAAAGAAAAATAGGCTAGGTGATGGCTGCAGGGAAGGCCTACAGTTTTATGATCACCTATTTAATATCATTTCACTAGTTTAGTAATGATACAATTACTGTACTGTATTCCCTTGAAATGTACTATGGGTATGTCTATATTATCAATAGCATTCTTATAAAACCTGTGTTTTGATCCCAAATTTTCACCAAATTTTGCCAACAGTTTTAAACACCAACATCAAAATATGTGAAAAGGCCAAAAACACCCACCCTATACTTTTGCTACTAGATCCTTAGAAAACACTTTTGTTGATCCAAATTATAGATTTATTTATTTATTTGATTTTCATCCTGCCTTTCTCCTCTAGTGGGGAATAAAAGTAGCTTACATTAAAGTTAAAGCAAATAATTATAATTTAAAACAATAATATATTCATATTTAAAATATTGTTTTTAAACTATGAAATTTGAAAGATCTCCCCATCTCAATTACCTCCTAGTTCCCTAAAAGCATCTCTAAAGAGTTATGTTTTCACCTGGCACCAGAAGGAAAGGGGACAACCATAATGTGGAAGCAGCCACAGAACAAGCCCTCTCTCAGGTCCTCACCAAATGTGCTTGCGAGACTGCTGGGACTGAGAGATGGCACTCAGATGACAGATTGCATTTGTCTCCAGTGTGGAAGGGATTGTCACTCTCAGATTGGCCTTCTCAGCCGCACTAGACTGTTCCAAGTCTTCCATAAGAGCACATTACCATAGTCTCTCGAGACTGAAGGATGCCTAATCTAATCTGATGCTTGTAAACAGTGCAGGTTGAGCAATTCCCTTGACTACTGGCTTAGATGCCTATGTATTTCACTATATATTTACCATAGGAATAAGCCCCACTAAACTTAAATGGCTTAATTCTAAGTAGACAGTTTAACAAACTAGTATGCAAAAACTGTAAAGTAGTAAAACATCAGAGACATCTTTCCACAACTCAGCTGTAGCATGATTTAATTCTGAAGCATTTTTAAAACATACTGTATTTTTCTGTGTATAAGACCACCCAATGTATAAGACAACCCCCACTTTTCCAAACCCAAATAAGAAAATTTGATCACTGCTTTCCTCCTCAACTTCCTAAGCCGGAAAGCGGGATCAAAGGGCTGTGGAAGTAGAGAGGGGAAAAAGCGATGAAAGGGCTGCAGGATCGCTGCCCTTTGATTGTGCAGTCCTTTCATGGTTGCTTTACCCACTTCCTAAGCCCCGTGGAGAATAGTTGTGAAAGGGTTGCAGGATCAAAGGGCTGCTATCCTGCAGCACTTTGATACCTTCCCCCTTACTTCCATGTATAAGACGACCCTCAGTTTTTACTCTAACTATTTTAGAAAAAAGTTTCGTCTTTTTCAGTGCTGCAATACAGTAGTATTTCAGCACTACCATGAAGTTTGGACTAAAAGCTCTATTTAATAGCTTTAAGAGCTCTATTTAAACATATTTTGTCTTGGCATACATTTTAAATACTGAAAGAGCTGAGCAAGCTGCTCTACAGTGTAAGTATTGATTCTTTTTAAAAAGCCCTTCCTTCTGTTGAGAGAATACTCTAACAGTTGTTTATAAGAGAACAGGATATATATGGCAGGCTTCCCACTTCTCTCCAACCCCACTCATTAGCATTACAAAAGAAAAATAAAGCTGTGCTTGTGATAAACCACAGGAGCAGATAATTACATATATTTAGCCTGTATTTTCACTGGAAGTAAAGTTGTGCATTGGCAAAAGTTATAAGCGTAGTAACAAACTGGAAATTATGCTTGGTCTCATCAAGCAAAATGAGAAAGAGTGGAATGGGTAAGTTAATTTTAGGGGAAAGGGAAACTTAATTCCTATACAAAACAGGGCAAATTTGGATAATACAACCACATTGGAGCTACGATAAAATTCATCTTAGCAACTAACAAGGTTATTTACACACACACACACAATAAGTAAGGTGTTATCACTCAGTAGCCAGAATCCTATTTACAATTGCTTAAGGTCTGCACAACTTACTGCAGCTAATTTATACGATGCCTAGACATATCTTAGTTGGACAAGGCATAGGACTAGGCATGTAACTAAGATGAACTCTTGCATCTCCTCGATTAGCAGCAGTTACACAAACCTTACACAAACACTAATAGTATTGTGGCCAGTGACAGTCCACCCTTTGGCCCAAGTGCAAGGTTCGTGCAACTCAGAATAAAACAATGCCATGCTTCATAGCACAGGTAGCAACTACAATTCTTCAAACGAAATGGCACACATTCCATGGTCATATGTAGTCCAGACAAAGGGCAAGTGCAGTATTTTAGAATCACCTAGCTTCCCAGGTGACTTGCAAAAGATTAACATGTTTATGTTCTGGATGCTTGAACAAAAATAACCTGAAAAAACTGCCCTCAACTGTTAGAATCAAAGAAATTTGGGAGTTGGGGGTATATGCCCAAGAATGGGGAGAAAAGGTATCACATATAAGAATATATAAAACTCCTGAAGGTTCATTTAGGGAGGGGCCCATATTCAAATCAAAAATATGCATCCAGTGCATATGAAAAGTTTGCTTCTCTTTCTTCCCAAATTTCTATGTTTCAGCAGGTTCAAGGTGTGATTCTTGTCAACTGGAGAGTTTTTAAAAAGTTGGTACTCTACTCTCTACTGCAAATCACCCGGAGATCTAGCAGCAGATCCCAAAGTTACCTTCCTCTCGCTCTAGGCCCAGACTGCACACGAGCAAGTTTGGAAACCCTAGGTCTGCCTTCTTGAACAAGGTTTCTGCATCTGGGTTCAGCTGGGGAGAATTTCAGGCTTCTATCAAAAAATAACGTGAACCAAGGCTAACATGCTCGCCACCTCTACACTAGGCATTTCGTCATGGGTTTTATATAAATAAGGTTCTTAACTAAAACGCCTCCCCCTCCCCAGAAGAGTAAAGGGGTACTAAGATTATAAGAAACATAAAGTCGTGTTAGTTTCTAGTATTAAATATACACAAGGCAGCCTATTCCACTAAAAATTGCGCAGAGGAGGCTTATTGCTCTGGGCGATCGCCTGAAGAAGACCACGACGTTGTGATGATGGAAACTGGGGTTTCCGGATGGGTGCGGGAGGTGGAGGGAGGAAAAACACTCTTAGGAAAGGGCTTGCTCACCTTGTCCGAACCCAGTTCGGGCCCCTCCTGGCAACAGAGGCGACAAAGGAAGGACTTGGGCTCCCGGCACAGCGTCTGGCGAGTACTCACGAAGTAGGTGCCGCCCACGTTCAGCCGGACCCACTTGGAGCCACTGCCGCCACCACCGCCACCGCCCCCCGTCG